AACGTCGCTCCATTAAGAGTGCCCCCCCCCCCCCCCCCCCCACATTTGCCTAAATACAGAATTCACGAATGCAGGCGATCTTTTCTTCATGCTCGAGGCTGGGTTTCAAGGAAACTTTACAGACGCACGTATACAGACGTCAATCAACACTTTGTTGCTCAACTCAAAAAGGAAACTTGCAATGTTCGTTAGAAAATGAAAAAAAATCTATGTTTTATAATAATAATACTACGTCAATTTATAAGGCGCAAATAAACAAGGTGTAAGCACCAAATAATAATAATAATAATAATAATAATAATAGGCCTAATAATAATAATGATAATAATGATAATAATATTATTGAATAATAATAATAATAATAATAATAATAATAATAATAATAATGACATTGCAGCGTTCGTAAAATGTTTGTCACTAGTGTTGGGAACAATCACAAAAGTGTTGGCCAATGGCCCCCCTGGCCCCCCGCTTCCGCCGCCGTTGAATTCCACTTCTTACATAAAGATACTAAATTTTTAAAGCAACGTTACTGTCCACTTGTTTACATGTTTTTAATTTTTTTTTTTTTTTTAATTTATTTTCCTTCTACCTCTTTACTGCGTCCTAGCGAGACAAGTACCTATTTATAGCTAGGACCCAATGATAATAATGTTTTTTCCCATTTTTTGTCATTTTTTTTTGTACTGTTATAATTGTATCTGTTGCATTATTATCGAAATAAATGTTACCTGAAATGAAATATTACTTGCTGTTGGCTGTAAACAAATTGAAAATCAAGTACGAAATATACACCCTAATTCACTTAAATGTTTACCAATAAACACAGCCTTTTCGGGGAGATATTTTTTTTCAGGTGGTTTTCATGAGTAGTCATGCTTTATTGGAATTTGTCGAAGAAGTTGACTTAACATAAATTTCTTTTAACAAACTATATATGAAGGTAAATAATACGAGTGCGAATCAGTTACCGGTATGTCACTATACACACGATGAAGATGTCATATTGGCGTAAGTAAATATTCTTAAATTATTATAACATAATAATGGTAATAAATATTATAACGATAACAAAAATAGACTGGCGTCTATAGCGTCCATGCAGCTTTAGAGCATGTTGTAATTTCAACGGAACAGTAGAGAAAGTCCGATCAGAATGACAAAATATTCAATGGAAAAAATCCCAGTATTTGCAGACGGATCCGTTTCGGCCTTTATAGGCCTTATCAGTGCAGCTAGTGTACAAACCCAGACGAAACGTTAGACCAGCTTAACAGAGCTTAGGCCAGACCCACTTTGAACACCACTAATGAACACAAAGCCAAACTCGATTGTGGAGATATATTTACCAGCTCGTAATGCTGACTAAATTTAAACTACAGTATATTCAATTGATTGAACATGCTTTGGTGACTTCATGTTTACATCTTGATCAACTGTTAGTTCACAAACTTTGATTATTTTTTAAGTGAATGGTTAACTAAAGGCTGTAAAACTCACAATAAAAACTATGTCGAAAACGGCGTGAAATGTGTATGTGATCATCTAACATCGTTTGTCATTTTGATGAAACCGGAGGTATGTACTAAAATTATAACAAATAGGACGTTATGGATATATAACTAAAATAATAATAATACACGCTTGTTTAACAACCTCAGTAATCTCAATTAGTTTCATCTGCTTTCTGTAATGTATGAACATAGAAAAAATTCTTTTAAGTAGACCATTGAATTATTGAGTAAATCCATTGGATCCAAACCAAAAAACCTTTAGAACACATAAACAATTAAATGTACGTATGTTTGAGACGTTTCGATCCGTTATCAACGGATCATCAGACAGTGACTGGTCTGCTAGTTGACGGTTTTCTCCGATTTAGTTGGCTGCCCTCTACCAGTAGTATAATGTTGTATGTCATGTTCAAACCTATGTAATAATCCAATTTCATTATTTTCTAGAAAAACGAGAACAACATTTTGTCCTTGCTTACACAAGTTGGGTTGTCAATTTCAATCGTGTTTCTCATAATTACTCTCGTCACCATCTGTGTTTTCAAGTAAGTTGGGATAATTATTTTATATTTGATGTCAGTATTAATCATTAAATAAAAATATTACATAAATTTTGTGTTTTCAAAAAGAAAATTTAAGTAAAAAAATTATCTGGTAATTTATATCTTATATTCATCGAATCATTTTACATAGACGGCGATGTCCCGGAATGTTACTTAAAATTATGTTTTTTTTAAATAAATTTCCTTTTCTCTGTTTATTTTTTTGGGAAATCATTCATTTTGAGTATAATTTGAGTAGTAAGCAATCAAACTTACAATTTTGGTTATTTTTATTTCAGAGATTTAAGAAACTCGGAGAGATATAAAATCCTGCGCCACTTGGTCATCGCTTTACTTTGTGTTAATTGCTTCTTTTTGTTACTCGAAGTTGATGTAGAAAAAGAATCGGTATGTCTCCCCTGTTTAAAACTCCACAGCATCAAAAAGTATAGAAAGGAAAGAGGTTCGACTCTCAATTCTCTTTTAAACGCGATCCTAGCTTTTCAAAATGGAAATGCCATTGAATTAAAAACGTATTATACAATTCAGAAATGCTACCCTATGCGGGCCTAATATCGTATAAGTGTAGTTCATAAAAAATAATTCGATTGAGTCTAAACGTAGTTTTTTTAAGCGTTGAATTTATTTTTAAAGATTTTTTTAGACATAACGTAGCGTAAAAGTATATACAATTAGACTTACTATATCCGTTTTTACAGAACATATAGCTTTTTCTCGTTGCAATCATAAGAAGTGATTTTAAATTTACAAAAAAAAAATCATTTAATTTTAAGTCTAACGTAATAATAACACATGAAAAACAAAAAGGAAATCAAACAGAATAATATAAAGGAAACTATGAAGTTAAAACACATGAAATCTCGACATCAGAGAAACTCAAACTATGTTGCTATTAATATTCAAATTATGTAGAACCATGTCATATTTTGAAATGCACATCGTTGATATTGTCTTTGCTTGGAAAATATTTGAAGCAGATTCAGCACGGAAAGTGTCCAAAGTGCCGGTCATAAAAACTCTGTGCAAAAATTTAAAAAAATGGGATGGAAGAAGTAAAATAAATTAGAACAAAAATAGCAGCTATTTATAAAAAAAATAGAAATAAATCAAGTAAAAACAAGAGGAATAACTATCTCAAGCTATAGCTGCAATGATAATTAGTACAAGAAAAATACAGGGTTGAAAAATAGTAACAGAATTTCTTCTTTTATGGTTATAAATAGCCTAATTCTGGTCATTCAATTACGTGTCAGGACAAATATTGTATGTTATGTTAATAATGAACATTTTAAAGTTTTGACTGACTGTCACGACATTGACTGGACATAAGACAAAGAAACAAAATATATATAAAATCAACTGGTTCTAATTAAATAAAAGTTCGTTTTGTATATCCAATGACAATGTGTTGTGCTACCTCCCAGAATCTTTATTACTGTAATAATGCATTCGAAGTACAGATCATCTACTAAGTCTTGCTAACTGAAGGGCTTTTCCCCTCAATCTGCAATATCACTTTAGTATATTTGGTACATAAGTCTTGAGTATAGGCTACTTGGCTCTACCTCCTCCAACCATGGTCAATTCTTTACTTCATTTCTTGATTCAAAAATACTGTGAAGCTATCTTACTTCATCTATCACTCACGTATAATTACTTTAAGCTTTCACATATAAGCATTGTACTTTTATCTTAAAATGTGCCTCGACTGATATGTCCTTTAACCGACACTTCTCAGTCCACATATTTCCTTTAAGATATTTTATCTTCAACTCCTGGCTAGATACCTTTAAACTAACCCTTTTAAACACATTTGCATACTTTTACACTCCACTTAAATGCACGAATCATACATTGCCACTTTGCCTTAACCTCATTAATATTCATGTACTTATTTCCATTCACAGACCGTTTTAACTTGAGTCATACAACTATGCATATTCATTAGTTCACGATTCAGTAAGCAGTGCTGCAAAGTAGAATGAAATATCCTAAATATTGTGTCACTGACCAATAAGAAGACTGGACAGTGGACGCCACAATTTGTTACCATTTGTTTCTATTCAAGGGAAGATGATTTGTTATAGTGTTTGTGTTTATATGTCCTTCAGGTCTTTTTTTTTAATTTGGCTCATTCAGTTATTTTCGGGTCTGCCTACTGGTCGTTTTACATTCCTCTTTAGCTCTCCAATTGTTTGTTTGACTGGTGTTTCGTCCGGTAATCATATTATGTTTCCGCTCCCTTTTAGTCTCCTGATTCAATTCTTATGCTCCATTCTCCCTGTTTCGTTATGATGTATAACCTTGTATTACTAACCTTATCGGTTAATTTATTGTTTAGCATCTTTCGTAGCATTTTCCTGTGATAGATGTCAATGCTTTCTTTTAATTTCTTGTTCAGGACCCTACGTTCACTGTTTATAAAAAGAAAATACTTGCAAAGTACGCGTCAAACAGTCGGCACATTACTTCTTTGGGCATGTTTCTGTTTTCTAGTGATGATATTAACTTATAATAAGCCATAAATGCTAGTCATTTTCTTCTTTTTATGTCCTTCATTGTGTCAAGATTACTCCCGAGATATTTACAGTGTCCCAATTTTCGATTTGTATTCCTTCCTACTAGATATTCTTCTGTTTCATTTTCATTAATTTCTAGGTTGAAGGCTAATAATTTGTCTGTAACATTTTCATTTATTTTGTTTATATGTTCTTTAGAGTTACTGATAAATGAAATTTCATCTGCATATTGCATGTGGATATGTAGTTGTTGTACAGCAGATGATGGAGGATTAATATCTGCTGTTTCAAATGCTTTTGCAAGAGAGAGAGTGGGAACAATATGGGAGACAGGCAATCCCCTTGTTGTACACCCAAATTTGTAGTAAAAGGCTTCCCTGCTTTCTTCACTATTCCAACGATTAACTTAACATTATTTATCAAAACTTTAAGCATGTGTAATTCATCCTCTTTAATGTATGCAAGTATTTCGAAAAGTGTATTTCTTCTCACTGTGTCAAATGCGCTGGTCTTGTCTAGGAGTAATAATATTATTTCGTAATTAGTTAGAGTAATATCTTTTTTTCTGCCCAACAAGTTTACATGTATGTACAGTTTCACTGTTCCCTGGTGTTCAGTAGTACTTAGTCCTTTGCGATATGCGGCTTGAGTTACAAGGATATGGTTATCTATTCTATCATTTATCCTTTTTAGTAAACATGTCGCTAATATTTTCCTTTTTCCTTTTTTTTTTTTAAATGTTTTTTAATGGACCTCTTGTTTTGCCTGGTTTCGTTGTAGATTTTTCTAGATTCAATTTGCTATGTACATCATTTATAACTCTTTTTCTGCCTTTCCGACAGTTCTTGTATAATTATGTATGCTGTTGGACCTATTTTTCTTGGTTTCTTTAAGCCCACCACTTTCAATGCTCCACTCTGAAATATTTTTGTTAATTGATTCCACTTTTCTTGTGAAGCCATGTGCTCAATGTTTAAAGTTGTAAAGGTTGTGATACCTCTGATCGATATGCTTCTTTACAATGTGCTAGTTGAAGTTTTATCACATCTATTTATTTAGTGTATATATAGGCTTATATATATATATATATATATATATATATATATATAGTAATTGTTATTGTCGTGATGGAATAGACAATAACTGGATTTGCGTCAGGAGAAACATGTATAATTTTGCCCTACCTGACGTGC